CATTCTCAGTGGCTCTGTAAGGTAATCCCCTCATGTGTACACAGTGCCCTGTGGTGCTCTGGAAACTGGACCCACCATCTCCATATCTATGGTCAGACATCCCTGAAAAACAGTAATTGAGGTCTCTTCCAAATCTATCAGACCCAAAGCCATAGCCATCATTATAGCCACCATAGTCATCATAGCCTCCATACCCTCCACCATAGGCACCACGCCTCATCCTTTCAAACCCAGTCCCTCTGCCAATACTATTATACCCTCTGCCAGCCCCTGGCCTATCATAAGGACCTGGCCGCTGCATAGCCATGAGCTTTCGCGGGGGGTCGTAGTGGGTTCGGACTTCAGCTCGGCTACTCTTGAAGATTTCAATGTACCTATGCCCTATTCTTTCCTTGTGTTTCTTTAAGGCCTTTTCAGCTATCTCCTGTGAAGCAAACTGCACAAAGGCCTCCCCAGTGCTCCGCCCCTGAAAGTCCACCGGCAGTGTCATCCCATTTGGCACAATTTCCAACCCTGAAAAGAACTGAACAATCTCTTCCTTGCTACAGCCAAATGGGAGTCCTCTAAGCCGGACGAAGCCATCGTTGGCAGTATCAGGACTATTCGGACCTGTATGCTTCAACACCCAATCCATTTCAACACTGTTGGACTTGAACACTTCAACGTATCTGTGTCCCATGGTTTCTCTGTCCTTCTTCAATGCCAATTTCACTTCATCTTCGGATTCAAGTTCGACAAACGCTTCACCACTTGGTCTGCCTTCTCTGGTATAGATGAAACGAATACCTGATGTGCCGTTTTGGATCTTGCAATCAGAGAAGAAGCGCATCACTTCATCAGCTGAGCAGGACCAGGGTAGGCCCCTGACCTTCACCACGAACCCCTCCCTGCCTTCCGTGCTCAGCATCATGATGATTGTTGGGCTCTTGGTGGCAAGCTTGGCTCAATGCAGGTTCAGTGTAGCTAAAAAAAAATTAGAAGACTATTGTCATGGAAAAATGTTCACAATATAGTAAGAGAAAAAAGCAAACCAATAATATAAAACTCACACGGATAGCTTTGTTCTAAAATACTCATATAAATAAAAAGACTGCACCAAATTTTTAATTCATTCATCCAACGATTATTTACTCAATACCTATTATGTGTTGAATACTGTTAATAGTGGTTATTTCTGGGCAGTAGGCTTATGGGAACTTTTTTATTAAAGGAGTATTTTCTTTGGACATTTCTATGTTTTAGGTTTTCTATATTGAACATATATTAACATCATAGAACATAAAAGGCATAAAAAATCAGCAGCAAAATCACTGGAAGATGTGAACAAATAGGAGATAGCTATACCTGATTACATAAAAATGAAAAACTTCATTACATCAAAGGTAAGATTAAACAGAATTAAAAGACAATACACTTGAGAGGACACAACAGTACATTAATATCCTTATATAATGAACTCATGCCAATTAATAAAATCAAGGAAATATTAAGGCCTAAGCAATAAGTGGGAAAAAGACATTAAGGGTGATCATACATTCATTTTATATTTTTCAACTGGCAAGTCCAGTACTTGGCTTTGGTATACAAGGATCAATAAACCAAGAAAGGGTTTATAGTCCTACAGGGGCATTATACGTCTTTACTAAAGGCAAAAGGGCAAATAAACATTATTCCTGCTATGACGAAATTCTGTGTAGCGTGAAAAGGTGGTATAAAACAGGGACTAGTTGGTCAATTCTAACACTTGGCACAGAATTGTTTAAACAGACTCACCAGTTCAAGGATCCACAAATAAATTTTTAAAAATTACGATGGAGCGTAAAATAGGATGAGCCCAGGCAAGAGGTTAAAGCTGGCAAGGTAGAGAGTAAGATCCCAAAGTCCTTACTTGATAGACAAACGTTAAGAGTCTTCTAAGGGTTTTAAAACAGGGGAGTGAGGTAGGGGACTGAGGGTAAGGGAGTGGGTAAGGGAGTGGGTAAGGGAGTGAGGGGAGGAAAGTGAGGTAACCAGAGCCTTTTCAAATAATAGATCACCCTGGCAACAGTGTGGAACTCAAACAGAGGGGGCTGGTGTGACACAAGCAGGATCAGTTATAACCCCAGCCTCTTTGTGGCATAAAGGATTTCACCTAAGGCAACAGCAGTTTTAAAAAAGAAAGGACAGCCCCTGGGTGGCTCAGTTGGTTAAGCAGCTGCCTTTGGCTCAGGTCCTGATCTCAGGGTCCCGGGGATTGAGTCAAGACATCCTGGAGCTCACTGCTCAGTGGGAAGTCTACTTCTCCCTCTCCCTCTGTTCCCCCCCCCCACTTGTGCGTGGGCTCTCTTTCAAATAAATATTTTTAGAAATAAATAAATAAAAAAGAAAGGAAGGATGTGATCTACACATTGAAAGCAGTGGACTCTGCAGGACGTGATAACAGATTAAATACAGGAGGAATACAGATGTGAGGATATAGGAGAGTTGTCTGAGAAATGTTCAAACTTCATCAATTGTCAGAAATCGAAATTAAAACCAGAATTAATCAACATTTTTCACCTACCAAGACAGTGAAAATTAAACAGTAAGGATAAGCCAATGCTAATATTCAGGGTTCACAACCACTCCTAGAGGAGTGAAAGTAGATACAGTACTTCTGGAAAGCAATCTGGAAACATGTACCATGCCTTCTGATATAGTAAATCCATTTCAGATTATGTGCCCTAAAGAGATGATCTGAAATTCAGACAAAGATTTATGAAGCTATATATTCTTCAAAAGGTATTTTATTAAAGAGTATTACACAATTTTAAAATTACATAAATATTTAACAACATGAAGAACTACATATGCTATAATCTCATGAACCAGGATCACAGATGCTTTATAATCTCAACTATGTAAAAAATATATATGTTTACATATTGTTTGACCCTGCTAAAATTCCTTCCAGAAACTGGTCAACAGAAATACTCACAAATGTTCACTGCTATTGCACTGTTACTAATGGCAGAAAATTAGAAACCTAACAATTCATCAATAGGTGAAAAGCTGAATAAATTACAGTATACTTTATCCTTAAAATGGAATCCTCCAGGCCTGAGTAGCTCAGTCAGTTAAGCATCTGCCTTTGGCTCAGGTCATGATCCCAGGGTTCTGGGATTGAGTCGTGCCATCAGGCTCCTTGCTCAGCGAGGAGTCTGCTTCTTCTTCTCCTTCTCCCTCTATCTCTTCCCCCTGCTCGTGCTCTTTCTCTCACTCTCTCTCAAATACATAAAATCTTAAAAAAAGAAAATGGAATTCTATGCTGCATTTAAGAAAAAAGATCTGCTGTAATCTAGATTTCCAAAATGTATTAAATAGAATATGCATAGTGTGATCCTATTTTAAAATATAAGCATGCAAGTATATATGTATGTAAATGCATAGAAGATCTGAAAGTATATAATACAAATTTGTTTTCTGAGAAAGCAGGAACTGGGGGAGGTAGACTGAAGTAGATTTTCACAATTTACTCCATATACTTCTTTATAATTTTAATTTTTAAAAATCACTGTAATTGAAACAAAATAGGAATGCATCAAATGTTAATAGTGATTTCTCTGAGTGGCAGGTTTATGGCTTTTTAAATGTCATTTTTTCAATTTCTTGTGCATTCTTAATTTTCTATACAGATTAATTTTATTTCAGCAAAAAATTTTACATATTTTTTATAAAGTTTTCTAACTTTGTATATGTGCATGGCTTATCTGACATGGTCCTCTTGGAAAGAAAGTACAAAGTTTAAATAACTGCCATAAAACTACACTGAGGATTCAACCAACATTTACTAATTGCTTATTATATGCCTGGCACACTGCATCCTCAAATAATAGTCTCCATATAAACCATCTTTAGGGGTGAGATTTATGGGCTGGTCTTTAGCATGCCCTATCTCTTGGATGACCAATCCCATTTCATGTCCCTGTAGCACTCCAGAAATTAACATCTCTTCTGTAGTGGAAGGGAGATTCTGCTTCACTACTGAATCTCCTGGGAAGGCCACCAGAACTAAGTTGCTGAAGTAGGAACTAGGATTCCATTTGTGGGTTAAGAAATTGTGTATTTATATGTGTGTTATACGCATACTTTTTATACACCAAAATGCTGAGTAGTTATCTCCTGGTGAGGAACTGCATGTATTTTTTAAATTTATACTATACTGTTATTTTTTGAATGTTCAAAACTAGGTGTAGGTTGTTATTATAAGTAGAAAAATAAGCGTTATTTAAATATTCAATTCAGTAAAAACATTTATTGGGCGCCTCGGTCAGGCACGCAGTGTTTGCCTAGATGTGACTCTACAGATAAATTCACTTGGTGCGTCCCCCTACAATCAGTGGGGACTAAGTGCCTGAATGGATGGACGAGCACTCCGGCCACTAGTCTCAATATTTGTTTTTCCTAACCCAAGGACGTGGTTTTCAAGCGTTTTCACCTCACAGTTTCTCTTAAGGGTCCCCTGAGACCCACCCAGACAGACTGATATACAGAAACACATACACAGTCACGAACGTCCACCATTTCCCCACCAGGCGCAGCAAAGGCGGCTTCCCGGCACTGAGATGGGGGAGGGGGAGCGGGGGAGGGGAAAGCAGGGAACGAAAAAGGCGGAGGCGGCCCGCGGATCCTGCTTTGGTCTTCATCATCACCACCCTCGGGTCCCCAGTTCCCACCCACACACCAACCTCTAACGATACCGGACAATTTTCCTCCTTCTTCCCTCAAACGGCTATAGCGAGACGGTAGACGACGACCAGAACTACTTCTGCTCACGTAAGCGGCTGATCACGTGACCACCTACGTCATGTGAGATCTCGGTCACGTGAGCAACTCTCGGCTTAGACTCGGGATCTCTTAAGTGCCGCACTTCCTTCTGGTATGGAAACAGGGAGGGCCAATATCAAGAAAGAAAGCGTGTGGTTGGTTGCAGTGCGCCTTATGTGACTGATCATTGGTTTGCCTCTGGGGATCACCGTCCCAGTTGCCCGAGAAACAGTAACGTCGTTATTTAATAACTCACCGCTGATTGGTCCGCCCCTAAAGTTAAATTTAAAAGCCCAGATTACCAGTAGAAATTTAACACTGCATTACGGTGACAATGAAGCTGAAGAACCAGTTGCTGCAGCCGTGCTTCCTACTGGCACTTCGCTTCCTGGCCCTGGTTCTCTGGAGCTTCCCTGGGGCCAGGGCCCTGGACAATGGCTTGGCGTTGACCCCTACCATGGGCTGGCTGCACTGGGAGCGTTTCATGTGCAACGTTGACTGCCAAGAAGAGCCAGATTCCTGTATCAGGTATGAGAGATACTGAGTACTCCCTTGCGTTCGCCTTTCCGTGTGTTCGTCTGTCTCTGTTTGGGGGAATAGAGGGTCTCAGAGGGAACATTTGACCCTGACGCACAGCTCCCCTGTTAATGCTGCTTTTTTATCCTCAGCAAACTGCCCTGGTTGGCAACTAGCCCCAAACTTTCTCTGGCGTGACCCCTTCTATGGTAGGAGTCGGGTCAGCAGCCTCTGCTTCTCTGTCTGTGCCGGATCACCCAACTAGGGACTTTATCCATTCACCATCCAGTCCTATTCAGACTCCTCTAGTGAACTGCTGTTATATCCCTGCCAGGCACTGTTAGTGACCACAGCTGGGGTGAGTAGGAGAGACAGAGGACTGAGCCACGTGCAATTTCTTCTGCTTTTTGGGTGAGGAGTTCCTTGGCTGTAACTGGAGGGAGTTTAGAGGAACCATGGAGTGTCTGAGATATCCCCACCCCTCACTCTTTTGAGTGTGGCATCTGGCTCGAAGGTTGACCTGGAGGAACTTTACAAAGGTTTCCTCCTATCCAAATGTGGAGTGTTCCGTAAGCGGAAATGGCATAAAGTAACTACGGAATTACAATTAATTTATATGGAAACATTTCAGGCATTCCCAGACTCGAAGAATAACCTCTCTTGTTTGTTTTTTTTTTTTAAGATTGATTGATTGATGAGAGAGAGAGAGAGAGAGGAGAGAGAGAGAGAGAGAGGCAGGCTCCATGCCGGGAGCCCGACGCGGGACTGATCCCCGTAACCCCAGGATCACACCCTGGGCCAAAGGCAGGCGGCAAACCACCGAGCCACCCAGGGATCCCCCCTCTCTTGGTTCTGATGCACGAAATAAATGGAGATAAATTACAGATGCTCACAGACACAGTTCAAAGCTGTGGTGGTTTAATGCTGAGGAATGTAGTTCCGAACACATATTTCCTTTTGCCTTTTCCTTTTTTTCCCTAAGTAGTGGTTGGCTTATTTTTATATCTGATAATAAAACTAATGCATAATCATTGCAAAAAAATGTAGACAGTAGAGTATAATGGAACTAAAGTTTTCGTGGCACAGAATAAGCACTTCACAAATTCAAATCATATGTATATAATTTATTTAAGCAATCTCCTGTTGATAGCTATCAAGCTCTTCCATTTTTTTATTCTTGTGAAGCTGTGTTAACCATCCTTATATATCATAAGATTCTTGCCTTAGAAGTATAATTACTGGATCCAAAGGTATGCCCATTTTGTTACATATAAAACTATCCTCCCCAAAAGTCTTACAAATGCACATTCCCAAGAACAGTGTATGAGAATGTCTATTTCCCCACACGCTGGCCAACACTGCATTTTTGTTATTCCTTTAAAATAACAACAACAACAACAACAAAAACTTTGTCAATATGGTGTTTTTATTTCCACTTACTGTTTTTTAATTGAAATGTTTTGAGTTTGGTTTTGGGGTTGTGTGTGTGTGTATGTTTGGTCTATCATATTATGAATATGGTGACTTATGTTGGTTTTGCACGAATGTGTCAAAAACATCAATTTTTTCTTTTAGATTTCTGGCTCTGGCATCATGCTAAGAAAGTCTTTACCTGAAAATAATATAGTCATCTACATTTTCTAGTGGTATTTTTATGGATTTTTAAAATTTTTAAATCTTTAATCCATCTGGACTTTATTTGCCTGTAAGGAATGCCACGTTTAATATATAGTAAATTCCTGGGGCACCTGGGTGGCTCAGTTGGTTAAGTATCTGCCTTCGGTTCAGGCCATGATCCCAGGGTCCTGGGATCTCTGCTCAGCGGGGAGCCTGACTGTCCCTCTCTGTCTACCCCTCTGCCTGCTTGTGTGCGCACATGTGCTCTCTCTCTCTCAAATAAATAAGTTAAATATTTTAAAACTATGTATATACTAAATTCCATGGTACCAGATGGCTGGAAAGATCTCTTTCAGAACTTTGTCTTTAATTCCATTGATTTGTGTATTCTAATGCTATTGTACTATACTAGCTTCATTTATCTTTTGTAGAATGTTCATATGTTTTCTCTTAGGTGAACTTTTGAATCATGTTGCCAGCTTCCTTAAAAAGTCCTTTTGGGGTTTGTTCAGGGTTTTATTAAATGTATAAGGAAAAAAATGTATAAGGGACGCCATTAAGAAAAATGTATAAAGGTGTGTTTTAATATTGAGTTTTCTTATTCCAGAGCAAAATAATGTCTCTCCACTTACTGAAATCATTTGAGAACATTATAGTTTTATTCATATGGATTCTGCACATGTCTTAAATTTATCTCTAGGTATTTTAGGTTTTTCTGTTGCTTTTTTGGTTGCTCTTGTGATTGGTATCTTTTTTTTTTTCCAAACAGGTTATCGTTGATATTTAAGGAAGCTGTTGATTATAGTAACCTTGTAGTTTCTTACTTCACTCAACTTTCTTCTTCTAATTACCTTTTCAATTTCATGTATTTCCCATTCCTAATTGTTTGAGGTACTTAGCGTGGAAGTATTCAGGCAGGGAGGAATAAAAAAGGGCCCAGTCCATTTTACCTTACACTGATTGCCACTGAACTGGGCAGTAACTGGGTTGAAACAAATTGCAACACCCCAAGATGCCTAATCATTTGTTTAATGAATTGCAATTATTCTTGGAATTTCTCTTTCAGTGAGAAGCTCTTCATGCAGATGGCAGAACTCATGCACTCAGATGGCTGGAAGGATGCAGGTTATAAGTACCTCTGCATTGATGACTGTTGGATGGCTCCCAAAAGAGATTCAAAAGGCAGACTTCAGGCCGACCCTAAACGCTTTCCTAATGGGATCCAAAGCCTTGCTAATTATGTGAGTTTATAGATTATTCTCTTTCATTCAGGAGACTGTAAGTACTTTTGGACTGCAGCTTGTTCAGAAAAACTGAGAAAGTAAAATAGCTACTATTATCTATCAAATTGTAAGGCTTATCAGGTGGAATTTTCATTCCATTAGCAGACCTTTATTTTGCAATAGCTTTTGAGGCCCATCTGAGAGAAGTTCTCCTTTTGCTGAAACCACTGAGTTCTCTAGGAGGAAGAAGGAACTTGGTTCTTGACATGCGTGCATATATTTCCATATGTTTTAAGCAGCTATTACAATTGTAGTATAACTAGAAGATAGAAGGAATATATTCTGGAACTTACAGAGTAATACAGCTGGACGCTTAGGTAAAGGCCATGAAGACAGATTTATTCAGTACTACTGCTATAGGGAAAAAGCCAAACTCAATTTCAAATACAACATAGACAAGTGGGGTTTTATAGTCAATGAGCAGACTTGGGGTCAGTGGATGGAAATTACCAAGAGGAGACATCAAGGGCAAGAGGATTCTTGCTAAAGGCAGGCCAAGGGTAGGGGATAAGGAACTTGATCAGTTATCAGGAGTAGGGAGATGATTTGGCAGGATTCTTGCTGAAACAACATGAGGCCCACTTGAGGGCACAGAGGAGCCAAAGGTATGGTCATGGTGAGAGTCTCTTTCCAGATAATTGTGTCATTGCTATGAAAAGGTAACTTTTAGGATCCCACCAGAAAAAGATGAGAGTGATAGCTTTCCCTTTAGTTCAGTATCATAGCTTAGGTGTATAGTTTGAATTCAGCAGAATTGGAGACTTTGTCTCCCAGGTAACTCACCCGGATAATTTTAGAGGTTTGTGGAAAAAAGTCCCTGATGCCTAGTGAAATATACTTGTCTGTGCCCACAGCCTGGAGTGGTTCTCTCTACTTCATGGTTGCCCTTCTGTTGGGGTGATCCTTTCCTCTCATTTCAGGTCCATAGCAAAGGACTGAAGCTAGGAATTTATGCAGATGTTGGAAATAAAACCTGTGCTGGCTTTCCTGGGAGTTTTGGACACTATGACATTGATGCCAAGACCTTTGCTGACTGGGGAGTAGATCTGCTGAAATTTGACGGTTGTTACTGTGACAGCGTGGAACATTTGGAAAATGGTACGTTTCATTCAAGAGATACAGCCATGAGCAAAAGGAGGAACTTGGAGTCCAGGGTAACTGGAGCATCCAAAGAGCTAATCTTCACATTTTAAATGTTCAGTCATAGTACTGGAAATAATTATTCTCTATGTGCCAGAGCTCCTACCTCTTCTTTTCTTTCAGCTCTCCATGCATTCATTCATGCATGCATATAAAATTCATGCATGCCTAATCATGGCTCATACTGTGCACATTTCATTCAAGAGGGCTCTGAGTTCATTACAAATAGTTATTGTAACCTTCCAGAACATCTCTTGGGAAAGCATCTGGAATGTCAGTCACAGAAAAAGAGCATCTTCATTCCTGCCTTTCCTCAGTATATGCACCATCCCACACTGCCTCCTCAGAACAATCCCAACAGTCTGGGAGGTACTAAACACAATTTAATAACGGAGCACCCACCTATCTCTGCTGCTGGTTAAAATATAACCGTGGCCCTTCCAGGCAGCATCTTTTTTTTTTTTCCTCAGGCAGCGTCTTTCTAAAATACATAACACCAGCTGGAAATTCCCTTCTTTCCCTCATTTTCCCCATTGTTTTCTCATACAGGTTATAAGCGTATGTCCCTGGCCCTGAACAGGACTGGCAGAAGCATTGTGTATTCCTGTGAGTGGCCCCTTTATATGTGGCCTTTTCGTGAGGTGAGCTAGTGAGCACAGAATCCAGTAGAGCTTTGCTGATAGATTTTTCAGAACCTGAGAACAAAGGATTGCCTTCAAAGTCCAATCTTAACAGTCTCATCCTACCATCCCTCTCAGGATCTAACTACTTCTCACCATTTCCACTGCTATAATTGGATTCTAAGCTACCATCACCTGGGACCTCAGTCATCTTTGATTCTAACCTTTGTCTCATAGTACACAACCCATCCACCAGTAATCGTATCAGTACAATCTACAAAATACATCCCGAATCAGCCCACTTATTTCTGTCTCTGTTGCACCCACCCTGGTCTTCCAAGCCACCCTCATTTCCACCCAGACTACATCATCAGCCTAGTCTGCTTCCACTGTCCTAACCATCCATTTTCGGAGCAGCATCACAGTGATCTTGTTAAAATGTAAATCCTATCACTCCCCTGCTTTAAAAAGCATTAGCTGGCTTCCCCAGGCACTTGGAATAAAAGCAGACTCCATTGACCCAGACCTGGCCTGCCTCCACCCACCTATTACTCTTTCCATGGCTGCACTGGGTTTTCTATCTGTCCCTCAGACTGGCAAGTCTGCTGCTGCCTCGAGGACTTTACACTTTTGTTTTTTCACCTAGTACATTCTTCCTCCAGGATTTTTAAATTGCTGCATCCTTCTACACATTGAAGTCCCAAATCGAATGCCACATATTCGGACAGCTCTTCTCTACTGTAAAATAGCCCTCTGTTTATTCCTTATCACATTGATCTGAATTTCCTTTTAAGAGCTTAGCACTGTATGGAATTATTTGTTGACTGACTTATTGTCTGTCTACCCCACTAGAATGTAAGCTCCAGGAGGGCAGGGACCTTGTCTGACTTTATCACTGTCTCTCTAGCTTATGGTAAGTGTTGAATAATTACTTATAGAATGAATCTCTGTCATTCCCTTCTAATCTCTGCAAAATGCTATTCCCTCTTTCTCAACATTGTAAACCTGATACTCTACCTCCCTATCTACAAACTTGTATTCATTCCGTTAATAAATTATGTGCCTAGGATTCAGATTACCTTATCCTATGCTTGTATGTCCTATGTAATTTTGCAGCTTTTATTTTTACTAATAAGGATCATTTTAGTTATTTTTGATTACAAAAACGATACATATCCATTTTAGCAAAGTGTGAAAATCCAGTAAGTTGTCAAAAAAATTAAAGTCTTCCATAATCTCAATACTTAGTTACCCTTTGGTAAATTTCTAGCACAAACAGTATTAAAGCCATTTTAGTAGCGATTTTAATTTAGATGGCCTACTTCTGAAGCTGACTTCTTACAATGAAATTCCATTATGATCAGGATTTAGCTCTTCTCATAGAGACCTTTAATCTGTAAACTACAACTTGACTGTTTTTGTCTTGCAAGAATGTTAGGAGGAAAGTAAACAGAAGAGTAATGTCTGTTTCCACAGCCCAATTACACAGAAATCCGACAGTACTGCAATCACTGGAGAAATTTTCAGGATGTTTATGATTCTTGGCAAAGTATAAAGAGTATCTTGGCCTGGACATCTTCTAACCAGAAGAGAATTGTTCATGTTGCAGGACCAGGGGGTTGGAACGACCCAGATATGGTAAGAATCTGAGCCCTCCTTGCTCAGGCCCCTGCACTGGACCTGTTTCCTATTTGATTTTTCAAGGGAAAATTCTTGGGACACCTGGGTGGCTCAGTTGGTTAAGTATCTGCCTTTGGCTCAGGTCACAATCCCAGGGTCCTGGGATCAAGCCCCACATTGGGCTCCCTGCTCAGCGGGGAGCCTGCTTCTCCCTTTCCCACTCTCCTTTGCTTGTGCTTGCTCTGTCAAATAAATATTTTTTTAAAAAAAGGTAAAATTCCTGGAAGCAGGCCTTATCTGAGAGTACTCAGAGCAAGATGCCATAGAAAGTGGCTCCTCTGCATCTAGGCAACATTAAAAGTGTTTCATTTTTTTAATTTAAATTCTTGCTTTTCTTTGTCCCAGCTAGTGATTGGTAACTTTGGCCTCAGCTGGGATCAGCAGGTAACTCAGATGGCCCTGTGGGCTATCATGGCTGCTCCATTACTCATGTCCAATGACCTCCGGCAAATCAGCCCTCAAGCCAAAGCCCTCCTTCAGAATAAGGATGTAATTGCCATCAACCAAGACCCCTTGGGCAAGCAGGGGTACCGGCTTAGAAAGGTACAGTAAATAAGGTTCTATGGGAGAAAATAGGAATTGGCCAGTAACATATTCTCTTGCCCTCTTGTTTTTACAGTTCATCCAAATGTTTGTGTGTTTAAGATGGAATGGCTTTGTGCTCAAGTACCACCATTGCCCTAGGCCCAAATCTGTTACATAAGAGGATGTACACTCATCTTTTGAGAATATTTACTTTTAATCTTCAAATCATAATCAGCAATGAGGCTCCTTTTTTGCTATTACTTTATTTCTAAAGCATGCTGTAGGATTTTAATTTTTCCTGGAAGTGCTCAATAGTTCTGACAATAACACTGAATGCCACTACTAAGGCAGCTTCCTGTTACCAAGTTGTCACACCTATTTTCTTGGCTTACTTTTCAGGAAGACAACATCGAGGTATGGGAACGCCCACTCACGGACCTAGCATGGGCTGTGGCTATGGTAAACCTGCAGGAGATTGGTGGACCTCGTTTTCATACCATCTCTCTTGCTTCCCTGGGTCAGGGGATGGCCTGTGTTCCTGACTGCACGATCACACAGCTCCTGCCTGTGAAGAGCAAGCTTGGGTTTTATGAATGGACTTCAGATTTAAAAATTAAGATAAATCCCACAGGCACTGTTTTACTTCGGCTGGCAGCAAACTAAACTACACTAAGTAAAGTCTTTTTTAAATATATATTTTGTTGGGGCCCCAGTGTGGCTCATCAGTTAAGTGTTCTGACTCTTGGTCTCGGCTCAGGTCTTTCAGGTTCCTGAGCTTCAGCCCCTACTTCAAAAGGAAAAAATGGTGTATTTTGTTGCCAGTGACTACCCCACTGGTGTCTCCCTTTTCTTCCACTCCACTTCAGCCATCCCTCTCTCCTTCAATAAAATTTTCCAGTGGAGCTTTATAAAAATTTCTTAAGGTACCCTTAGTATTTTGGGGAAAAGCTTTTGAAACAAATATGACTGATAACAAACAGGTATAACTTATTGGGCACTTTTGTATGTGCCAGGCACTGTTCTAGATGCAGGAGTATAGGGACCCATTTGAATCCTTAACAACCGAGGCAGGTACAATCCACTATAAACTGCTAGCAGGATTTCAGCCCAGACTTTTAACCCTTACACTGCCACCTACTGAGGTGCCTGGATGTCACTGCTTACAATCTTAGCCCGAAGGGAAGATTAAAACAAATCTACTGTAATTGAAGGGCAAAAAATACCCCAGCAGGAATGACTTCCAGAGGCTACCCAATGGCCCACATTACTGAATTTTTATGGAACCATCTTGTCAAGAAACACTCCACCACTTAAGTTTTCATATCCTAAGGTTGCTTTCAATCTAGATCCAACAAATGCAGATGGCTTACATTGACCAGTGATAGCTGATCTCTGGCCTGAACACCCTCTCCCCTTTAAGTTGCCTCCTCTCCAGGATGTGATGATGCCATGACCTTCAGATTGGGTTATGTGGGATTGGATCACTTGGTGGGGGGGGGGGGGGGAGTGTGCAGAGGCAGACTGAGAACCCCAGGGGGGCTCCATGCCCAGGGAAAACTGACACAGGGCTCAATCTCACAACCCAGAGATCATGACCTGAGCAAAAATTGAGTCACTTAAAAAGCCACCCAGGCAACCTGGGAATGGATCATTTTAAAGGAATTTCCAGGCATTACAGTTCCCTCCTTTTCCTACAATTGATTTGCCTGCGAACCAATCTGTAGTCAGTTTCAAGCCTGCTCATCACCTTTTCCCACTTGACCAAAAGCAGCAGCTCACTCATCCTGAATGTACAACAGCGCATAATTAGCAGGGGACAAAGGCCCTCAAAATACAAAGTGCGTGCTGTAACAATTCCTTTGCCTGTCAGGTGATTACCAATTATCTTCAATAAAATTGGAAGAGTAATCAGTTGCTAAAACTGACAAACCCAGGCTAATCACCCACAGAAACAAGGTAATTTTGGAAGAAAACCGTTCCATCTCACTGACATACTTCCAGTTACCAAAGTGTATCACTTATGTGCTTTGCCTCCAGTTTTTCTGCACAATATGAAAAGCTGAACAAAATCAAGGATACAAAGAGGAAAAGGATGTAATAAAGTTTCCAACTAGGAGACATCTTTAAAAAACAAGATAATCCCTGTTAAATTCTGCCGGGCAGCTTAATTCACTAGAAATTATATCTTCTGCAGTTATTTCAAGATGAAAATTTAGGTCTACTTTAAAATTTGAAGGGGGGGGGGCTGGGTGGCTAAGTGGTTAGGCACCTGCCTTTGGCTGAGGTAGTGATCCTGGGGTCCTGGAATCGAGTCCCATGATCAGTCTCCCCATGGGGAGTCTGCTTCTCCCTCTGCCCATGTCTCTCATGAATAAATAAATCTTTAAAAGATAAAATTTGAGTTGGCAAGTCAAAATTTTTGAGCAAGTTAGAAGTCTGAGAACATAATGTAGTATGTAGTCTGCATAGAAAAGTGGGCCTAAATTCCTCATTAAGTGATTGGAATAGCAAGAATGTAAGAGAAATTCCTTCACTCTTGGTAAACCTTACATTCACTATGGATATAACTGTTACCATGGAACTCTACTCAGGTCCCATGATAACCTTTGCTTAAATAACCTAAGTGCCAAATTGGAAAATCAAAATGTTTGATGGGACTTCAACCAGTTCAAATCCAATCAAAAATGAGTCAAGTAGGGCAGCCCCGGTGGCCCAGCGGTTTAGCACCGCCTTTGGCCTCGGGTGTGATCCTGGAGACCTGGGATTGAGTCCCATGTCGGGCTCCCCGCATGGAGCCTGCTTCCCCCTCTGCCTGTGTTTCTGCCTCTGTGTCTGTCATGAATAAATAAACAAAATCTTAAAAAAAAGTACCCAGAAGAATCAAGTATAAATTGCCCCACAAGGGGAATTTGATGGCAGTAGTTTATTTCCCTCTTAAAAAGACCAACTGCAACCAAATGAAGTGAACGTAACATCAAGATTTTATTGCCTTCATAACAAAATATGAAGTTTAGAACTGGATCACTTGGCCCTGTAATGGAACAGAAAAAAAATTAAGTTTTTTTTTCTTTTATAATGTTGCAAAGAACATCTACCCTCTCAAGTACATGGTCTATCCCCCTAAAGGGTTCACCATCTTTGAATTAAGTCAAGTCTCCTCATGCCAAAACCAACACCAAAAACCTCATACCTTTAGCTATGGCTCTAGTTATCTGAAGAGCATTACCCCATTTCAGATTCCACCATCAGTAAATGGAGAGAAATATTCAACTCTCCCAATAGAAATGATTGCACCTTCCACCCGAAATTATATACCTTTCTCTTCTTATCTCCTCCCAGTTCAAAATGCTTGCATCTCTTAATAGCCAGCATTCTCTTCGATCTGCAGTTGGGCTCAACACATTCAAGCCTCAGCACAATCTTCTTTGTAGTTTTAGCCTGGAAAAATAGAAGTCAACCCCTTCATAAATCACTGCAGAAAATCCTTTTTCAAAATAGACTGTTGGGTTAAGTACCACTTAAAAGGGAAGCTTTGCAAATGACAGAGTTGTGGCAATTTGTATTTAGCTACAAGGAGAAAATAGAAATGTGAAAATCAGTGAATTTAAGAGAAAACTTAATAGCAAGGGTAGGAGCTTGTCTAACTGCCATCAAATTCCCTATTATCAAACATCCCAAAGTGGAGGTCATCAAGTAGGCATTCGTAAAACCGCCTTGAGCTTGTGGCCTTTCACTAGCTCTACAGCCGTACTCCCCACAACCCAAAATGGGTCAACAAAGTGCATAAAAACAATGAAATAAACACAACTTTCTCATTAAATAGGGTCAGTAACTTAAGATCTATCCATCCTCTGGAGACTACCTAAGTTTGTCTATAATTAATGTCCATTCAACTATATTATTTAACTCAAGGTACACTAATCAACTTTTTAAGCCTACTCCTATCATCAGAATTCTACTTCTGCCTGTTCAGTTCTCAAAAAACCAAAACTTGGGCGGAATCTCCCCACCTTTTAAACAAGTTAGCTGAATGTGAAAAGGCCATCTGCCATTCCTTTTACCACTTTGAGATCCAACCATTTATTTATGGCACCTAAATTAACATTGAAGTTATTCCTTAGTACTTTCTAAAACGATGTTGAATGCTGAGCAAAGCACCAAAAGAAATGCTGTGTTCATAGGAATGCCGTTCCAGGCACTATACATATGCTTAAAGGGATAGCCAGTCACATTTAGGACAGAACAGAAACTCATTTGACCTGGATGAGAATGACAGAACTCAGGAGACCCATGGAAGGCCTAAATGAGGATTTCAAAGAGCTTTAAAACTTCCTGAGACAAGTAGTAGACTGCAGGTTTCCGAACAGAGAAGCAAAGTGAGAGACCAATTCTTACTGCAAGCAAGGGCTGAGGATTCACTAGGGTAGAACGGGGAATAGGGCAAAGGAAAGGATTCACTGGTGTGCTCAAACTTCAGTCCTTAGGAAGGCAGGGAACATTACTTGATATTGCCTCTTCAAAAAGGGAAGAACAAAAATAAAATACTGAGACAGTGCAGTATTGTAGACTAGTCAGACCTGGGTAGTACTCCCAGCTCCACTGCCTACTGGACATGTCACTGCATTAACAGAAAATTTCACTGAAACTATGGAAACAATGTAGAAGTGTGAGATACAGAAAAATGCAAGGTCTTTGCCACAGTAAGTGGGAAGCATGTCAAATAGTAATTACTAACCTTTTTCCGGAAGATCGGCTTAGTCTGCCCACCATAGCCACTCTGCTTCCGGTCATAACGCCGCTTTCCTGGGAGAATGAAGTGGTTTGTTATGATATACCAAAGATAATAAATCACAGCTGCCACATGGAAAACTCACAGGTTTTTCCTTAGGTTTTCCAGCAGAAATATCAATACCCAAGGGTAGGGGGAAGGCACGGGACTGCTCAGATGTTATACTACTACCCGAATGATGCATTAAAAGCAAATTACGGGGCAGCCCGGATGGCTCAGCGGTGTAGCGCCGCCTTCGACCCAGGGCGTGATCCTGGAGACCGGGGATCGAGTCCCACGTCAGGCTCCCTGCATGGAGCCTACTTCTTCTGCCTGTGTCTCTGCCACTCTCTTTCTGTCTCTCATGAATAAATAAATAAAATCTCTAAAAAAAATAAAATAAATAAAACCAAATTACATACAGAATGTCTTACCCTGGGCGTAAAGAGAATCTTTGCCTTTCTTGTATTGTGTCACTTTGTGGGGTTGGTGCTTACCACACTTCTTGCAGAAAGTCCGGCGGGTTTTAGGAACATTCACCTAGTAAAGAAACAGTTCAGAACGAGCAGCGTTATCAGATACCAACTGCACAACGCCCTAAACCACCCAGCTGAAGCTAAGACATCCCAGGAGGGCTCGACGCTCAGACTCCTTTGTTAGCACAGAACACTCGACTAGAAGGTGGTACAGCCACATGTGCTTCCAGTACTGCGGCCTTGTTAGGCCCCAAAATGAAGACAGTGCATATTCCCTCCATTCCCCGCTAGGTCTACCGCTTTGATCCCATCACTTCATTTATTGGCCCCGAAACCCAGTGCCTTCGGGGCCGATCCCGGCAAAATAGGGTTTCATTGATACGAGTCCACGCGTGGGCCTAGAGCCATTCTCGGATGGCATTCGTCAAAATGGGTGAAAAGATTAAACTGGATGTTACCGGGCCCGCTGCCCAAAGTCCTACCATCTTTGCGAGAGCGCTATCGGCACGAAAAGAAGGAGGTAGCGCCGGAAACGGAAGTATATAGGCGGTTTCTGGTCGCTCTTGCTCACGGGAGGCGGCGAGAACGACCATAGAGTCTAAGCCTCCGTGAGTACTGCCCTCTGGCGGCGGAGAGGACTCCTTTCGGAGCCGTGGGCGGGAGCTCAAGGAAGGGCTCTGCCTGAAGGGGATCCTGTCTTGCAATTCCTCGGGTCCTCCAGCTTTGCAGCTTTTCTTCCCTTCATCACTTTTGGCGGACGCCGCTAGGTAGCAGCGTTAAATGAAGGAAGCAGTACTCGTTCTGGATCCTCGGGCGTCTCTGTTCCTATCTCCGAGGGAAGCAAGGAGTAGGATCAAATGGAAGGGCCCTACACACCCATGTTCTTACTGTTTCACTTCAAAGACACTGGGAATATCTGTGACAATGAACTGCTGGTTAACTGAAGGCTTGGAGGGAGCCAGTGCTCTAACTCATTTATCACATGGCTGCTTGGTCCTTTCAACAAATGTTAATTGAATTTCTATTCTGTGTTAGGCGCAGTTCTAGGGTAGGGACACAATAATCGAATAATCACTTTCATAAATATATAATTACAAAGTTCTTTGTAAAATAGGACCAATGGTCAGCATGCAAGCAGCCCCCTGTTACCGAAGGAGCAAGTTGGCTGCACTGGGTTCTGAAAGTGACAATGAAATTGTTCAGCTCGCACAATAGAAAGTATCCAGCAGCTCTTCCCTTCTTTGCATACCTGGCAGAAGGCATGTGCTAGGTTTCAAGAGTATAGCAGAGAAAGACTGCAGGGTACTGAGTATTTAAAATGGATTGTCTCATAAAATTCTCACAGTAATTCTAGGAGGCAGGTGGTACTATTATTCCTATTTCACAGATAGGAAAATTTAGGCCATAAGCTATTCAACATTTTGCCCAATGTTGATAGTATTTAGTGGAGCCAGGATACAAATACAGGTGATCTGACCCCAGAGCCTGGGTTTCTTTACCATTATACAATATGGCTATTGCGGCCTGTAATTATAATAGCTAACGATTATTGAGCACTTAGTATATACCAGGCATGTTCATAAACACCTCATATACTACCTCTTGTAATCCTAACAACCCCATGCAATGTGTACCACTATTAATATTTAACAGGTGAGGAAAGTGAGGCATAACACAGGTGGTTATTTCGTGCAGCTGGAATTTCATCCCAGGTATTTCTAGCACCATAGTCTTGCACCTAACCATGACATCACACAGGGAAAGCAGGGGCATCTGCAGGGTAGAGGATGATGAAGAGGGAGAATTGAGCAGGAACTCAGGATGGGGTACCAGTGATTAGGGTCTAAGGAACTATGAAAGCCTGAGGTCTCCTGCTTATGTAACTCTCCAGGAATACCCATGGATACAGAGCTGACTCTCTGATCATCCCCTTTTATTTGGATGGTCTCTGGGAAGGAGATAACAAAAACATTGCCCCTACCTGCTACATTCCCTAAAAGTTTCTTTGCCAAACAGCCAGCCCATAGTCTCAGCATTTTCTTCTTCTCATTGGGCCCTTTGGCAGTCTTAATGGTCTTTGAGGAGCTTCTAGAGGTTTTTTTTTTTTCCTTGAGGTTTTTGATGTCAGTAACAGGGCCCCTCTTAGTCTAATCAACCTTAGTTCTTTGTATTACACCTTGCGTGATATGGCTTTGGTTTTTATTCCTTTCGCTAATCCTGCCCTCTGTTTTGGACATGCTCCTGCTCATTAATTTTCCCTACCATGAGACACTCAGAACTGAACACAGGAGTCTAGATATGGCCTGACCTTGCAGAGTAGGTGGCCTATTCACTCTCCTTCTAGATATCTTACTTTTTTAAAGATTTTATTTATTTATTCATGAAAGACACACAGAGAGAGGCAGAGACACAGGCAGAGGGAGAAGCAGGCTCTGCAGGGAGCCCGATGTGGGACTCCATCCTGGGACTCTAGGATCACGCCCTGCGCCAAAGGCAGACACTCAACCCCTGAGCCACCCAGACATCCCGATATCTTACTTCTACGAGGAAGCCTAATATCACCTTGGATTTTCTGGCAGCCATGTTACTGACATGACATGACGTTTCTTTTTATTACTATCATCAAAAACCTCTGAAGCATTTTCACAAATGCTACTGCTATCCCACTACTGCACCTAGAGTCTTTTGAAGTTCGATTTGGTGCCCAATTATGGGACATGACCCTTAGCTCTGGTAAAATAAACTTGAAGTTGGCTTATCACACCAAGTGATCGAGATCTTCTTGCAAATCGATTACTCTGGTTCTGTCATCCACTCTAGCTCCCAAGAGCCTTGCACCATTCACAGATTAGCTAGGCTACTTTCTGTATCTTTCTCAAAGTTCATTAGTAAAAATGTTGAACAGGATACCACCAAAAACAAAACCATATAGTACGTTGGGAAACTTTTGCGGTGACACTCAGCCATTTATTTGCACTATTTGGGTGCAGCCCTTCTATTATCTAGACAAGTGTGTCAAGGAAATGCTCATGGGCAGACGGTTTATTTTATTTTATTTTGGGGGGGGCAGATGGTTTAAAAAATGGCCTCAGTTTATTTTACCCTATCCCTTGTCCCACTCCTTCTTATCCAGATTCCCCACTGTATGCCTATCAATTTCGTCTCCATCCCAAGATGGATCTTGAGAAGGGACAGGCCATGTGACAACAGGTAGCATCTGATTGAAGGAGAGAGAAAGAGAAAGTCTGTGATGAATGCTCAAGTGACTACAGCATGTTGAGAGGTGACTAGTAAAAGGATATACGTTGTCAATAAAATAGGGAGATCATTCAACACTTACTTCCCATCTATCTTGTGCAGATGTGAGGATTAGCCACTCTACCATTCCTACAAAATACTTGTTTAAGAAAATCTTGTTACCTTCAAAATTCTGACAGACTTCTGGTAAGATCTGTGATCTGCTCCTACATTAGGATCCAGCACCCAAGGCAAGTAAATATGGCAGTTCCTGATCTGTCAGGGTGGGCAAACAGACCAGTCAGCAGGGTCTCTGCTGCCATGGGGGTCTGCCACCAGTAATGTCTGCATTTCCTAGGAGAAGCCTCTGAGGGATGATTGTGGCTTAGAACCTGGGCTAGGAAGCAGTTGAGGACACATTCAGGCTTAACACATTTGATCTGATTTAACGATTTACAAGATTAAAGAGAAAGGTGTAAACTAAGAGTTGATCCCTGAGGCCGAATCTGAAATGGAGAAAATTGACATCCACAAAAAATGGGGAAGGGCACAAGTCTTAGTGTGAGCTTACATTCAGACATTTTTATCTGTAGGGGAAAAATGCTTTCTGAGAAAATGACTCAGCAGGGGGAAGTCTTGTCTCTACCTCTCTCGGGCTCTGCACTTTGGGGTCCCTTTTGTGAGTACTCTCCATCGTTTATTATCCCAAATCTCCTCTGCCTTCAAGGACAGGAGACTCTAAAGACACTCTTCCTTACTATACCCTTTGTTTTGTCTTTGCAGGTCTGCATTTCTTGTCTTTCCTAGTAGTTTCCACTTTCTGCTGATTATCCCCACAGTTCTGTAGATATGTGGTCCCATTAGCTCCGGTAGGTCAGCATGATGACCTATCTGCTCACCCCAGCACGATCTAGAGTCTCAATGGCCCCAGTAATGTTGAGCAGGGTTCTTTCAGAGCACATTCAAGATAGTAGTGTCAGAGGTCCCAAGCAAATGAAGGGCGGGGACAGCTGGGGGTTGGGGGGTAGTTTGGGACAGCAGCAGGGAACCAGATACCATGCTACTGAGAAGAAAAAAAAAAGACATTGGTTTAAGTCAGGAAACAAAAAAAGGGAACTGAGTGGCTGTGAAAGGGTGGGGTTTGCTCAAACTGTCCTTCCTCTCTGGACTGTAAGAATATGTCTCCAGGGCCAGTGTCTTCTGAGATCAAGTCACAGCTTCAAAGTCCTGGCATCTCAATGCATCTGGAAAGCTACCTGCATTAAGTCAGGACTGAGGTGGGTCTGGGGCATGGCAGGGGCTGGGCAGCAGCAGCAAATACTTTTCATGGGACTCCTGAAGGCCAGAGGGAAAGCATGGCTGGTGCCATATAGTCTGCTGGCGAAGGACGCTGACAGAGGGTGGGAGTGGAACAAGGCCCTGGAAGTCCTTTCCAATGATCAAAAGGGGATGTAAGGGTTCTTTCGGAATCAGGTCGTGGGAGTGGGGGAGGAGGACAAGGAGAGAAAAAAGTGACATGACGTGACCATCTGAACAGGTAGCAAATGTTGGAAATGGGCACCCCTGCAAAGCCTTGCAGAAAAGTAATATTGTCGATGATAGGAAGATAAAAAAAAAAAAAAAGCCATTTCGTCAAATATTGCTTGAAGACCAAAAAGGTATACTTGTGTCAAGAGGCCTTTCGGAGAAGAAAATCCAAGAGGCAGATTTTGAAAACAGTAAAAGCTCATATGCCGTAATAGGCACTCAACCTTGGTGAACTGGGTACAAGTACAGGCTAACCCTCGGTGTAAGCAACCTGCCTTGGGCTGCATCCAGCCAATGTTGCCAGGAGCAGAGCTGGCTTATTGGAAAGATTGTGTGTGTGCCAACCTCGTGGTAATGTGGGTAAAAGACTGGGCCAGAAGAAAGCAGCCTCAGCCTCAGCCCAGACAGTGTGGCCAACCCCTGAGGTCATGGGGAAGGTTTTTCCTACTACCATTGCCTGCCATGTGCATGGCTTTCTTTTCACTTGTCTTCATCATTTCTCCTCTCCTTTTCTCTTCTCTCCTCCTCTTCATTCCCTCCCTCCTTTCCATCCCCCTCCATCTTTTCCTCCTCCTCCTCCTCTCTCTACCTATATTCCCTCTTCTTATATATACCACCTCCCCTCCCTCTTTTATCTTGTTCATTACTGCATCCCCTGGAACAGTTGGAACTTAATAAATAATCGTTGAATTGCATCGGATTTTTTTTGCCTCTTCCTTCCCCTGTTCTTTTCCCTTTTTCCTTTCCCCCTACTTTTCTAGTACCTTCCCACATAGGATTGTTGTGAGTAGTAACTGTGTTAATATATATGAAACAGTTAAAACAAAGCCTGCCAATAGTTAAGTGCTAATATCTCCATCTTTGCTATTATTTTTATTCTGCCTAAGACTTGCTAGTGTCCCCAAAGGGCCTGCCTAGAGCAAATAGTGTGGCATTCAGAATAAAAGGGATTGCTGGCCCTGATCAAGACATCCTTGGATGAGCTATTAGACCTCCAAATGGAATCCTGGCCTAATTTCCTGATCACCCAGTTCTCCAAGCTCAAAATCTCTATGCCATGTTGTGTGTTTCCAGAGGCAGGGCAGCAGGAAAGCCTAGAGGTGGCTTATAAAGTTGAGGGACTATTCTCTGTGCTGTTAGCTGTGTGCTAGTTCTGCTCCTTCCCTCATTTTGCATGCCAACTACCTGAAACAAGGGTGCGATAGCCTCTCTGAAACCTCAGTTATTTGATAAAACAATGTCATCCTTCTAATAATCCACAAAATGCAAATACTCATGGAACCTAAAGCATTCCACCAAAACAGTATCCCTTAAGGTGAGCCCTATTTGTTCTATTCTGACCCCCTTTACGGTCAGACTATTTAAACTATCTGTGTTAAAGCCCAAATTCCTGTTGCTTATAGCTAGTGATGTGTTTGTCTGGAATCCTTCGTAAACTCTTTATGAGAACTAGTGCCATTTTCCATCCACTTTTATGGTCTTGGTGCAACTTTAAATTATCATCACTATGATTTACTATTTCTATTTGAGCAAATTTCCTACAGAGACTTTCCTTTCAGCAGTCTAGACCTATACCAGGAAGTGACTTAGGTATAAGGGGGAAGAGATGCCTTTTGAAAACCAGTTCAGATATTCTCCAAAGAGTTATCAGTTACTGACTGCTTTTTGCCCAAAGATGTTATACCGAGACCTGATTGCTAATTCCTGGGAATAAGGGAGAGCTAGAATTTTCAGTGAGTCCGTGCTCAACAAGAAGCTAGAGGTAAGACATTGACCTAATTCACTCCAAAGCTGCTTGGTTATGCAAATGAAGCCATCAGGGGATGGGGAGAGAGAACTTCTTTGAGGACCCTGAAACAAATGGGCCACGTGTGACTTTCAGTTTCTATAGGGGTTCATGTGCACTGACAGAGGGTGTTTGAAACACAAAAGCCCTAATCCCAGGCTTTCCTTCTCACTCTCTGAGAAGCATCACCAGATGCCCTGAGAGTTAATGTTGGTTATCTGAACCTCAAGAAGAAGCTCATCTCATTGCCTGGCTTCCCTAAAACAAAAACAAACTATAGTCAATTAGCTCATCCCTCAGAAGAAGGAAATTCTAGAGAGTCAAGATAAGTTAAATTTTAGACAAGTTGTACATTGGGATACACTGGAGTTCAAGATCACTGGCCAATGAAGAAACAGACTAGTCAGAAATAAAAACAGAGTAAAAAATACTGGCCAAAAATGGAGCAGAAAATAAAGGAATGGGAAAGCCAAGCTCTCAAAAATTGCTATCTGGAGTGGAAATTGGTAAAATGCTTCTGGAAACTACTTTGTCAATATATTGCAAAATGCAAAATGCACATACTTTTTGACTTGGTAAATGATGCTTATATAGAGATTCTAATATCATGGGAAAATAACCAGGAATACTGTTAAACAAGACATTTAGATGTTTTGGGAAAAAGTTGTGTTGAGTGGATGGATGGATAGATAATGTTAAGAAATACAAGTAAACTACAAATACTATGTGCAATAGGATCTCAAATATAAGAAAAATGCAGAGAAGAGATGGGAGGTAATATGCCTGAATATCAATGCCTTTGGATAATGAGCTTGTAAGTGATGTTTTCTTTTTAATATTCTTGTGCTTGAAGCATTTTTTATAATGAACATGTGTTGTTTTGATATCAAAAGAGAGAATACGTAAAATGTATGAGCCAGGGAAAACAAAAACTAAACTGAAAAAGAAGTCCATTCAAGTCCAGAGTGAAAGATGTACACCCCAGTAGTCACCCTCAGAGCAGAGGGACAGTGCTCAAAGTATTACCACCAGTCTAATGCCGAGTGCAACTTCGTATTAGCTATCTGGCTCTCACGTAAAATGTTAACGTGAAAGGCTGAAGAAGAACCAGAAACCTGAGACCTCTTAGAGAGGACTGCAGCATATTAAAATTTGCCTGATTAACACCCAGCCAGAAAACTGATTTTGGCTGGAGGGCTTCACCACAAATTTGGTCACCTATAGCACTGACTGTGAAACTTATCAAATAATTAGGTTTCACTGGTGCCTGAATAGGGCTTCTTGGGAACTCAGAAGGAGTATTTAGGTTTCTTTGTTGCTATGGTTATATTCTAAAGAAGACTTCTCCTCTGGTTCCATGGCCAGGGAAGTCTCACTGAAAATCTCAATCAGAACCTAAGAGATGCTTCTGAGGACTGAGGAGATTTTTGGTAAGCTAAATATAGCCAATCATACCCTATTCTAATTTCAGACAGTTGATAATTCTACCAGATTTCATAGTAAAACATCAGGAAGACAGGACTGAAATGGGGAACAAGGGATAACAGAGACCACATAGGCCCACAAATAAGCCAGACCTGAGTTTGTCACTTTGAGTAACTGAGCATTCATTCTGAGAGTGGAAAACTATGACCATGCGTACAAGGATGTGCATGGCGGCATTGTTTATAACTGAAAACAAGCAATATAAATATCTAGCAATAGGAGAATGGATAAATCAAATGTGATGTATTCATCATATAGAATATTTTATGCTGGGATGCCTGGGTGGCTCAGTGGTTGAGCGCCTGCCTTTGGCTCAGGGCGGATCCTCAAGACCTGGGATCAAGTCCCACATTGGGCTTCCAGCATGGAGCCTGCTTCTCCCTCTGCCTGTGTCTTTGCCTCTCTCTCTCTCTCTCTCATAAATAAATAAAATCTTTTTTAAAAATAATACTTTGTGCATATAAAATAAATTAAAATGTATGAACTAGAGCTTTAACCAAGATAAAACATTATACTGAGAGGGGT